GGCAGCAGGTTCAAACCCGGCCCCAGCCAAAAAATGGAAAAAAAAAAAAAAAAGAGTATCTAAATGTAACATTTAAAAAAAATTAATGCAAAAAAAAAAAAAAAAAAGGCCATGATGGGCTCAGCAACATAAGAAAAGTAAGCATCAAACCAGAAAACATTATTCAGGGAAACCAAAAAATGGAATTTTTACATTCTAAAAGTTGTCAATCAATGACTGTTGTGTAATTAAATCTATAGGAATAATCAGATTCGAGGAACTAAAGACAGATTCATTTTCATTCATCGAGTTCATAGTCCATGAAAATAAATGAGATTCGCAATGGCTCAAAGTTGGTAATAAGTTAGGTCATATTAAAAGTAGCATTAAAGAAATGATGTGTGATTTATTCCTACCAAATCCCCAAACTTGGCCATTATCTATATTTCACTATAATGTCACTGTGATCCAACCTCCTAGGAAGTTACGGAAGTGAAGCATTCCTTTCAATGCACCAAATTTGGAAAAACACACCTATTGTTGGTCCCACAAAGAAGAAATTATAAATCTAAATTACAGAGAGAAAAGCGTCTAGGCTACTATACAAAGCAGCCCCGTCCAATCGGGATTGCAGTCAGGGTCCTGTCAGTAAGAAAACCACTACTGGGCTTTCTCTCCACAGCACTACAACCTTTTCAGACTCTTTCCTGGACCTTCACATTCATTTTCTAATGTTTTTAACCCAATGTCTGTGAAACATTTATTGCTCCCCAGATGAAGACATCTGATCTGAATGTAACCACACACCTCTTTGCTCAGCGGTATTAGTCACAAACCATTATAAATTATCATGCTGATAGTTTGCATTGCTGGGAAACTGGAAAAGTTGCATACATTCCAACTACCGTAGCAATGACATTCTTGTTGATTATACAGATGTAAACTTTTATGAGATTCAAGATGTCTGCCTGACCACGGAAGAAAGGTTCAGTGGTGTGAGATCCAACTAGTTCAATGTCAAGACCGGACACCATTTACAAGGTACAATGAACATGTCTTTGGGGGAACTCTCAGCCAGTCACTCTGTTTCCTTCTTTTTCACTTGTAATTGTGCTTTGATTCTTCACAAGGGGGCAGGATTCTGCTGGTGCCAAAAAGAGAAATCGTCCTTCTTTCCCTTCCTTCAACACCTTCTCTCAGAACATTCTCTAGAGTCGTCTTTTACATCGACAAAACAATAAAGTCAAGGGCATGGCCAGCTAGAAACCTGGTCCAATGTTAGCCCCGTAGACCCTAGTCAACTGTTCTATTGAATGATTGATTGATACCACACCTTATTCAGTACAAGAGTTCAGGGGTTTTAGTATTATGGTTTTGATGCATGTATGTAATGAAATGTGCTTCAAGTGTAGCATAAACACAGATTGTTGCATTAAAACTACAGCGGACAACTCATCCATATATTTTCTCTAAGGAAGTGTCCCTCTTTGACAGCTACTGTAAAAACTTAACACCCGTTTTGGAAAGTTTGATCTATCGTTTGCTTATGAACTGTGTCAATCTTAGTGCTAGTCACACGAAAATCCGTATACTGCCTTATGATTACTAAATGATTTTTCTTACCCAATTATAAATAAAACAATAAAAATCTAAATAAAAAAATATTCTTCCTACCGGTACTATTTGGCTGGTCCATTAAATTACTTATCCATCCCTTCATCCTCCAAAAGAAAATGGCTTATTTGGGTCCCAAGGATGTTTCTCAATAAGCAAATGGTCTATGGCATTGATTTCCAGAGCTTTCTCATGGTGAAAGTTGACTGTACAAATACTGACAATTTCAAGAGAGAATGAAGAGTGTATGATGTGTGAATCATCCCATTACTGGATCAATATATTTAGTTTGACACATGTTTAGTTTCATATTTCTAAATGTTCTAACAATCACTACAGTGTTAAAGGTATCACAATAATGATAATTTATTTGGAGGAACACGTTTACCTTTTCAAAGGGATTTCACATCTGCTCTTTCATTTTGTTCCCCTACTGATAACCTTACAGCATCACTACAGCACGTATTTTTTACTGCCAATAGGCAGATCATGTAGATAAAACAGGAAAAATATTAAATATCTCAAATAAAATGAAAAGTTTGTTCTTAATAGGAGTGATAACTAAGTGCTTATCTGCTCTCTGAATGTGGTTTACCGTGCCTAGTTTTTCGACACCTAAAATCTACTTTTGTAAATAGCCTAAAATAAATTACAAAAAGAAAAACCCCAAAACAAAAATATGTTTTTAGTTGTCTAATACAAACTTTGAAGTCTATGAATTTGATCTTCAAAGATGGTCTAGTGTTTTCCACTTTTTTTCCTAGGGAATTCAAATCACCCATAAACTTTCAAGTGTGGGTTCTTCTCAAAGCCTTTACAAAAACAGGTAATTATTGTGCTACGTTAGTAGAATAACAACTGCAACCTTTACAATGACCAGGAGTCAGATGGATCAGCCCAGAAAGATAGCAAAGGCAGTGTCTTAAATAGATCTTACATCTTTCTGGAATTTGTCATTGATAAAAAGATCAGATAGCAGCACTTCCAAACATGGCACAAAGACATTTTCCATGGGTCTAACCTCCATCAACTTCTTTAAGCTAAACATATCAGCCTTGCAATGCTAGCCAGGAGAAGGCTCCTTCATAGACAGCAAAGCCTCAGTTGAGACAATTGAGAGATCACCCTACTCTGTTTAACAAGCAAACAAACACCTCAACATCATTAAGATGATTATAGAAACAATTTTCTTGGCCACATCAGTTTCTTGAATACCTTGGTAATGCCACTAAAATTGTCACTTCCTATAAATTATAAACATCTTGTATCTGATCTTGAAAGAAGGCAACCAGCGAAAGAGGTGCTCTTTTCATCTCACCAACCCTAACCTCACAAATAGTCATGTAAGGTTTCTAGTGCACCAGACAGTGTTGTAAGCACTTTACACATATAACTGGTTCAACTGGCTTCCCTTCTTAAACTTCTGTTCCAGCTGCACACTGGAGCTGCCTTGCACCAGCTCCTAAGAACCAATTGTACCCATCTCTTTGCAAGTTTGTGCATAGTGACCATAAGTAGTTAGAACTTGGCCATGGCAGTGATATTTATATCATGGACATTAGCAAATACTACAAATCAGGACTTGGCCCACCTGCTGCCCGGAGTCAGTTGCTGAACATTTACCAGTACCTTATGGCTAATAACTCATGATTATTCTGAATTCTTTAACTATTACATTAAACATATACATAGCTACAATTTCCAGATATCAGGAATCAGTAACCATGACTTTATTGAATTCTAATAGCACTTGATTTTTTGGACTGATGTGCCTGCCTGAGTATGTTTTACCGGAGTTTCCTAGAAATATCTCCTAGAGCAATTTTAGCGTTGTCAAAAGGCAGCAATAATAATTAAATTAAATCAAATAGAAAGCAAGACTCCATATGGCCTAGAACAGTGATGGACACTATAAAAACCACCACAAAGAATATAAGTAAGAAGGAGGAGGAGCAGGAGAGGAAGAGGAAGTGAAGGGTGCAGGAGAAAAAGAAAGAAAGGCCCACAGTGAACTCCCTGTGACTTCCTAGCAGTCACGGGGACACTTTATGGAACCTTCACCCAAGATTAAAAAGTCAATGCCCTAAAACATTCCTGAATCACAGAGCAAAGATTGAACTGGAATTGGCATAATTTCATTGCATTGTAATATATGCTGATTATTTGGAAGCTGATTATCCGTCTCGGAATTTATGCTAATTCGCTAGGCACCAAAATGTTGAATTAACCAGATGACCTCCTTTCCCTGACAATGAAAAGCTAGTCTACTGCGCCCATACAACAGGTGGCTGAGCACTTCCCTAAAAGAAATAAGCGTGCACAAATAGACCATCTTCGATAATAAATATACTTGCAAAATAAGGTTTAGGTCCCCTGGAAGTAGTAGCCTATAGATCATGGTATGCAATTACATTAAACTGAGCCATTTTAAAACTTGGGGGAAAATACCAGTCCCTGAGAAACCATCCTAAATCGATTTGAATAGATTATTTGCCTTTTATAAAACTATTTGTATATATAAACTTAACTGAAGATCGATATTCAGCTTCACGGTGGCGACTACACGACTTGCAGTAGAACAGGGTAATGAGGACATAGCAGAGATCTGAGTACACGGCTACGTGCAAGGTGAAAATATACTTTCCAAACACCATTTCTTTCAAATAAAGCAAGGAAATGTAATTTAGGCCATCCCTATAACTGCTTCATAATAATGCAATCTGGCACAAATTGATCCTTAATAACCTAACAATAGAAGGAGATAGCAATACCAAAGCAGATAGATGAAACACTGAGTTATATTTGAGTTCCCAATGTATTCACTGTGCCCTAACAATTCTTTTCTACCATCTTTCATAAAAGTCTTTTAATCAGTAATCTACCATAAAAAAACCCTCTCATCTGACTTGCCCAATAAGGCTTGTTTTTATTCAATGATAATTTGCTTTTACCGTGTCAAAGTTGCTGCGATGAATACAGTTCTTAACACAGAACATGTAGCACAGATTTGTTTCCAAATATCCAATTTCACTATCTGGGCATGCAATGTATGTTAGTGACTGTGTTTATTTAATAAAAATGCAAGTGAGAGTTTTCATTTCTAAAGAAAGAAGAAAGATATATACTCTTTGTATTTCTTGCAACACAAAAAAGAGTTGCAAGCCCCAAAGTGTTAACAGGAAAGAGTATGAGAGGTTACACGTTTAAATATAATCTTCCTGGTTTGGGGAACTCAGAAATCACTTAATGTAATTTAATTTCCATACCATTGACATATGATCTGGCAGAGATTGGAATCCCTCCTGGATCCATTTATAATCCACATTGAACACACGCCTTTTCCCCCATAGACAGGCGTGACCACTAGATGGTGCTGTGGTGCCCTGTTCAGATACATTCCCACTTACTTGCAGTCTCTGTCCTCCAAATCAAAGTGAGGGTTGAAGTTGATCATAATTCTCTGGGATGGATCCGGAGCCTGAATCAGCCATTCACATTTTTCACTTGGGTGATAAGAATGAGGATAACCAGGAGACGTAAGGTACCCGGGGTTTTCAATCTTTATAGTATCGCCACATTTATCTGCAATAATAATAATAAAGATTTTAGTAGATCTTTCCCTGACAACCTGTTAGGTTTTCTAGCTCTCTGTCTATAAATTACAGGTGATTAAACATTTCTTAACTTTTAAAGCAAAACTCCAAGAGGTCCCCCCAAGTCCCTCAGGTGGCACTGAGAGAAAAACTACCCCCCCCCCAAAAAAAACCTCTTTGAACACTGGCTCAGGGAGAAGGCAGGCTGAGATCTGAGATGACTCTTCCCCCAAAGTTCCTCCCCAAGAAAGAGGTCTTCTAGCATTAAAACATTAAATCCCTCAATTGATGTTAACATGGTCCCCTGGGAGCTTCTGCTAGACTTAATTATCCCCCAAGAAGTGTAATCACATTAAGTAGCAAGTTCTAAGTAGAAAGTGAGGGAAAGATGCTCTTGGGCCCCTTGTGTTGCTCTTTCATGATAAGCCTGGTCTATGTCATTGATCAGTGGGGATTGTCTTTGATTGGCTTAAAGCCAGACTTTTGGGGGGGGGGGTCTTTGTTTTATCTGCCCATAAATCTAAGTGATTTTGTGTTATCTCTGCTCTTGAGATCCAGATCAGCAGAGAACAAAGTCTATTTGGTGAAGCAGAAATAATTCTGCTTCCTTCTCCAAGTAAAGTTGCTCAGGCTTAGAGATCAGATCAAAGCTACAGTGCAGGAGGAAAAGTAAACAGCCACATGGCGTTAATTCTAATTACCTAAATGGTGGGAGAAAAATAGCCCACCACACAGAGCTGGCTATCACCTATGGTGAGCCCATCCTCACGTTCTGAGAAAGGTAAGCTAACTAGTTTTGAGCTGCCTCCACACCCCCCTTTAAAAAAATGCTCGAGTGAGTCACTGAGAGCCAAATAAACCAATCCCTGGCTGCTTTATTGTTCAGCATAGATTCTCATTGTCACTTTTTATGATGGATTTTATGCTGGAGAGCTTCAGTCTTGAAAGGCTGCCACATTTATTGATGCTTAATTTGGGGCAATAAAAATTGGGTGCATAAACTCTGTAAGAGGAACAGGTATGAAAGCAGTGAAATATGTAAGCCTATCAATCACAAATTTTCAGTAATGGTATATATAGATTTTAATATTGCATCTAATAGATTCCCTGTGGAAAGAGAATAGCATTCTTTGCTCTCAGCATGAATTTATAAATCTACAGAATTTTATTACAGGAAAACCAGGTCAAATGGAAATGAAAGATGAAGTGCACATCAAAAATGCATAAAGCTACATGCATTACAGAAATCATTTCCCATAAATTAAGAAGAAGACAATATAGATTATATTGGGTTTTTTCCCCCCAATTTTTAGATGTTTTCTGGCTGTTTCTTAGGCCAGTGGTAGTTTTATCCTGTTTCCTTTGCCCTGGCTTATAAAAGCTTAAGGTTTGCCAAGAAGAAATGATGTTGCAACCAGAGTTCAAAATCTTAGCTAATGATCATACTGGACTCTGTTAATGTGATTCTACTGAGACTCATGCGTTATTTTAAATGTACAGAAAACTTGGAAAGTGACCTGGGCTCATTAAGTCTCCTCCAGCTCTGGACAAACATCATGGCAGTGTCTGGCATCTGTTTGAGGAGTGAAATAAAACAGCACTGGGTCTAGTCACTTGACAGAGTCACTTCAGAAGACATTTAGGTGGACTTGGTACCACACCAGAGCTCTTTAATCTGTGACTTCTGAGAAAGTGACAGTGTAATAAGATAATGGGAACTGCTAGACTCCCTGGCTCTGTTAAATCTCTCTAACAGTTGATTAGGAAAGAGCAATTTCTAATGACTCTGGACCATTAGTCCTAAATAAGGTTAATGAATTAATTTAGCAGACACTGGTACTTGGAGGAGGTGGACATGGCTTTAAGAGGTCTGCCTGGTTACAGAGGCATTTACTGGCTCTGGTCACTTCAAGCGTAGCAACATGGCTTTACCTAGTTAAGCTCATCCACTGAAGCTCAGATTCTCAGCATTCCCCAGATTTCTGCTAAGGAAATTAAGAAATATGTTTGTGCATGTGTGTGCATGCATGTCTACATCTATGCGTCTATTACATGTGCATATAATATATCCCATGTATCTGTGGAGTTTACAACCTAAAGTCTGAAAGCCTGTGCACAGGTTTCAAGTCCATTCTGTGAACTCCCCTACTATGGATTTAAACTCAGGAATTGTGGAAGACAGAGGGTTACTGCAATTTCTTAAGTCTAACCACTTCAGCTCTTTCAGTTGGAAGAGAATGTTATTTCTGTCCCTGCCAGAGTATAGAAAAGATGCCACCAACCCAGGTTCATTAATAAACTGAACTGTGCATTCACAATTTTGTGTGTGAGCTCTGTTTCCCTGCCAGAGAGCAGAAAGATGCCGTCAACTCAGGTTCATTAATAAGTTGAACTCCACGTTCTATGGTTATTTTCTCGTATGTTTTGCTGCTAAGTATACCTTTTAGGGAACGCTGCCTGGTAGCTGTTGGGGAGAAAAAAAATCTGTTGCTTAAATCATAAAGCCTTGAAGCATATTAGAGAGATTAACTTCCATCATAAAGATGTGATTTAAATTCCTGTTGGTATGAACCCCTGCACTTGTGGTTTCTTATTAAAACAATAGACCACGGTAAGTAGGGGATGTTCTTTTCTCCTAATTACTTTGATTGAAATCTAAGCCAGACAAAAGTAAATATTTGATCATTAGTTAATAACAATTGATGGTGACTTACTGTAAAGCTAATTGCATACCCTGGCCAGCCTCTACTTTCCAGTTAAACATGCCTACAGACCAGATCACATTTTAAAACACATTATTTAGGTTACATGGTACTGTTTATGTGCCTGAACAGTTTTTTATTTACTTAACAGTGAGTGGTTTTAAAAGCTAAGTGGAAGCTGCAACTGGGTTAGGGATTTTCAGAAATCTAGGTGCCTTGCCCTGTATATACCAGGTTCCCGTATTGACACTAGGCAACTTTCATTCATACTCCAGATGGATCAGGGACGACTTACCAAGGCGGGGGAGGGCGGACCAGCAACCCACACACCGCTCTCTCTCCTGCAGTCCCCCACCAGTGGAAACCGTGTAGGGGAGCTGCAGAAGAACCAGGAAGTAAGTTCTCCCAGTAAAGTGTTCATTAACTTTCAACAGCCATCAGATTTTTGAAAGGGAGTCCTACCTAATTGCCTTTGGGAGGAAACATTATTAAGATAATTGGTGTGCTGATCTGGGAAGGTAGGCGGCTCAGCCTCGTAACTGAGGCAGGAAAAGCCCCTCAAACCTAACTACCAAGTTCAGGAGGGGGCCCAAAGATCTAAAAGCCTCTGGCCCTAACCCGACTGAGCTTATTTCCTCATTTCTTCTCCCAGATAAAAGTTTCCTTCGCCCGGGAGGTCGGGTGATTCCCGGGCTCATCCCCGCAGCTCTGGGTGAGCCCCCGCGGCCGGGGCGGGAAGCGGAGCCGCGGCAGGACGCGGGCAGCCGGAGCCCCGGGGCGCCGCGCTGTCACCCGCGCCTCCGCCTGTCACTTACCGTTGCGAAAAGCGCCGGCCAGGGCGAGGGCGAGGGCTAGCGCGGCGCAGAGGAGCGGCAGCTCCCTCTCCATTCTCCCTTCGCCGGATCCCCAGGCAGACGCGGGAGAACGGCAAGGAAATACGGCCAGGAAAGAGGGGAATCTTAAACAATCCCAAGCGCTCCAACTCCTCCTAGAGCTGTAAAATCCTCAGTCCGTCTTGGAGAAAGGAAAGCGGGGAAGCAGTGCCTTGATCCGAGAGCAACGCTTCTCTTTTTGTGTCTCAAGTCGCCTGCATCCTGTCATTTAGCTCCGGTTTCCTCTCCCTTTTCCCACACTTGTTCCTCTTCCAGGAGCGACTGCCCGGGCCATGTCTCAAAAAAAGGGGAGGGGGAGGAAAAGAGGGGGAGGGGGAGGAGGGAAGGAGGGAGGGCAACACGCACTAAAGCCAATTTCCAGGAAGAAAAAAAAAAAAATCCGGTTTGTTTCTGGACCCGTTGGAGCCGAGGAGCTGGCGCCCAGGGGAGGTCCGGGTGTCTGCGGGAAGGAGTGCAGCGAGCAATGAAAAGATGAGCCGGAGGCAGAGGAGTTTCACCAACTGCACCCCCGCCTCCCCACCTCCCCCGGCCTCCCCCACCCTCTGGAGCCCTTCCCTCGCTTCCTCCCTCCCCTCTCAGCGCACAGGCTCGCTGGTGATTGCCTGACAGGAGACAGGGAGGACCAAGTTTCCCTCCGAGTGCTTCCCCGTCCGTCTGTCTGTCTCTCTCGGAGGCCCTGCGGGGATCTCCACGGGAGGAAAGGCGCTGGAGGTCTGCGCCCAGGGCGTGTGGGGGTGCGTCTTGGAGGACAGCGCGTTGGGGTCAGTGCCAGCCTCAGAGTCGGGCTAGCCCACCTCTCGTGCTCGCTCTGGGCCCTCGGGGAGGGGGCGGATAACTGGGCAGCTCCCCAAGGCGAAGATTTCAACCGCTGCTGAGTGCAGAGCGCCCGGGAGGTGGCGGCTGCTTCTCGCCACTTCAAATCCCCGGCGGGCCGGTGCCCAGTGGCGGCGAGAAGCGCGGTATCACCCTCTGCCACTCCCTACCGTGCCAACCCGAGACCTGGGACAGGGAGCAGCTGGGCGTCCCTGGACGCCCCAGGCAGGGTCTGGAGGGCTAGTGGGAGAAAGCCGGACTGGAATGGGAGACGCAGGGCACAGCCGGACTAGGGGCGGCAGTGTAGCTGCTGTGTATATCACAGGCGGGTGAGGCTGGGCTGCAGCCCCACATGGCCTCCCTGGCCAGCACCAGGGCGCGTGGCTGGGTGCCAGTCGCGCCCGGCTGCCTTCTGCTCGCGCGCCCTGGGCATTATTGTTTGCAGAGATTTGGTGACCTCTCCTCCGGGACAGAGGGGAAGCCGGAGGGTGGGAGGTGCTGCGCCTTCCAAGCTAGGGGGCAGCCTCCGCCCGACCCCGCCCAGCTCTGTCTCTGGCCCAGGTGCCGGGGAGGGGATGGAAAATGAGGGGTCTGGTGTCCCCAGTTTGTGTGCATCCCGCGGGAGGGGGAAGAACGGCGGGGGAGGGGATGCTGGGTGCAGGGCGCTTGCAGTGGCCGCTCCCGACAACTGGCAATTGTGCACGTGGGTCCTGGAGCTCATGCCCACCCCCACTTCCCAGGGCGGCACGTCCTTAGCCCCAAGTGCAGTCCCCAAGGGCTTTCTGAGAACTGCTGCAGGAGGCGTGTGGGGATATGAAGAACAAGGACATTTCAGGGAACAAACAGGTTGCAGCCACGGACCAGGCCCTGGGGAAGGGCAAAATGCCCACGGACCACCTCCCAAGGAGTTTGTGGGGAAGGTGAAAAGGTCACACACCTCCTGGGAATTAGCGTTTACATACGCACCGCCAGAGCACAGTCTGATTCCTACCTGGCGCAAAGAGCTGGCACAGGAGTGTTAGGAATGTTGGCAGGAAGACTTGGTCAAAGGTTTTGGCTGAAGATCTAGCGGCGGGCAGGGCGAAAGGCAGCCCAAGGCGCGCGGGCTCCAAGCAAGGGCTCAGCGCTCTCGGGTCCCGCTGGGCGCGGTGACGCGCGCCCCTGGGGTACATACGGACCCTGGGCAGTGCCGAGGTGCGCCCACAGGGCCGGCAGTCGCCACCCTCTTACCGCAGTCAAGCCTTCCTTTTCTCCTGCCCCTCGCGCCGCGGAGCTAGAGAGCCGGGCCCCCCGGGCGCCACGAGCCTGCCCTGGCCCGGAGCGCTTCCCTGTTCTCTCCAGCTTCTTTCTCTGTTTACGGACCCCTGGGAGCGCAGGGTGGGGAGGAGACACTGAAAGCCCGGGAGTCCGATGCCTGGGTAAGGCTGAAGGAGCGGTTGGGGACTGGGGGTCAGGCGGCGGTCTGGCCGCGCCCAGAGCAGACCCCGGGGAGCGAGCGCGGCCAAGCGGAGCCCGGGCGCCCGGCTACGACCCGCGCCGCCCCTCCCCCGGCTCAGCCCCGCCAGTCCCAGCCCCTAGCTGCGCGGTGCGAGCGGCTTCGTCAGATTTAGGGTGACCCCGAGCGACCTCCGTCCAAGGCTCCGAGGGAGAGGCGCCTTTCCGGACCTGGAAGGTTGACAGAGAAGGGGAACAGGGCGGGAGCGGTGGCCGGGCCGCCCGAGTCACAGATTCCCGCCTGCTTCCTCGTGGGAAGCGGCTGCCGCGCTCGCTCCGGGGCGCCCGTTGTGACCGGTCTGCGCCTGGGCGGGGTGAGCGAGGGGGCACACGCGGGAGACTTGAGCTGTGTTGTTTTTAGAAAACTGCCGCCCATCTCTCTTCCCCTTTCCCTGCTGAGTGTGCATTTCCCAGCCTAGACCCGCCAGGCCAACAAATAAAGCCACCGGATCGAGCCCGCAGCGAGGGACCGCCCCCAGCCTGACCTCGTTCCCTCTGGCTCTCTCCTGCCTCTCCTCGGGGAAGGACTCTGGCGGCTCAGCGCGCAGAAAACGCAAGGCTCCTTTCTTGCTCACCCGCTGAGCACTTTGGCCAGCTTTCTCCAACCAACTAATAAGGCATGCCCTATGTACTCAGAGGGAAATATCATGTTTAAGTTATGCCTCTGATTTCCCTGGTCTTCGCGGATCTGAGGCTTCCCAGATTTTCTCTCTCCACACACAGAACTGGGTAATGGAGCCCTACCGCGCTGATTGATAATTGCTGGCTAGTGGGCTGGTACGGAGCAAATTGTCCTTGCTAACAACCTCTTTCCTTTGCTGTCGGATTCCACTAAGTGGTGACAAGGGTCAGTTTTAGATTTCTGCAATTCCCCAGTCAGGGACACAGACCGACTTTACATGAGAATTAAGTGATGGCAGAGGGAGAACTCAACCGTGTTCCCAGGTTGATTTTATTTTTGGTCTCATGGACACATCTCTGCTCCTGATACTGCAAATCCCCAGACTGGAGAGAAGCCAGTTCCAGGAAAGGGAAGATTCCCCTGCTACCCTCCCAGAATGCCCAGGAGGGGCTGCCTGGACTCCCACTGGGCTTCAGCAGGGGTCAGGCCCTCTCAGCTAGGACTCCCAAGCCGGGCTGGGACCACAGCCCTTCATTAAGAATAGACTGGATGGGTAATGCTGGTTCCTTTCATCAAGCTCTCATCAATTTGTCAGAAATAAGGTGAAATCGATTGCTCCCAGAAGGCCATTTGAGCCACTAACTTCCTCAAAGTGCTTCAGATGGACACAATATGGAGATTCAGGTTGGTAGTTCAAAACTACGTCAAGTCTAGTCAAGTTTTTTTTTGAATTTTTTTTTTAACAGCATCAAACCCACATATTTCAGAAAAGCAATAAAACACCGTATTTTTAGTAGGAACTAACCCACATTTGAAATGTAAGAACAGATGAAGTGTAACTGGAAAAAAGAGGAAAAGTTGGAATTTAAACAAACTAGTATTTAAAAATAATGCTATTAAAAATGGCACTTCTGTCAAATGACTTCATGATGCAAAGTGTGTCTTGGCGACCCCGATTTGTAGCTATCTCCTTAATTCTCACTGGTAGAGAAGGAAAGCTTTAAACAAAGGAATCTTTACTTTCCGATCCTTTGTTTTCATCCTTTTAAAAGTTACCTTGAAAAATTCTTTAAATATTGGAGAAAAGAGTATCACCTGAGATCTTAAAACAAACTCAAAATGTGAAATGTTTGTAATACAGCACAATGAATAACAAACACGATGAAAGACCATGCTGAATTTTTAATCACGTTGGTAGATTCAAAATGTTTGTGGCAGAATGAGTTCTGGGTGGGGTAAGGGAGGAAGTGGAGAGAACGGTTATGAAGTAACTTTAATAGAATCGGACAAGAGCTTAACCAAGGATCATGCAATGGAGATTTAAAAAGATGCATCCCAATTTGGAAATGACCTGAATGCCCCCCAACCCAGGAATGGATTAACAAGCTGTGGTATATGCACACCATGGAATACTATTCAGGCATTAGAAAGATGGAGACTTTACATCTTTTGTATTAACCTGGATGGAGTTGGAACACATTCTGCTTAGTAAAGTATCACAAGAATGGAGAAGCAAGCATCCAAGGTACTCAATTCTAATATGAAGCAGTAGATGATTTAATACACGCCCACAGTGGAGAAAAACTCAAATCAATTGGGGGCAGAGGTTGAGCAGGAATGGGGGATGGAGAAAGAGGAGGAGAAAGGGGGGATGGAAGTGGTCCCACTTAATGGGCACCAGGTTAGGGTATAGGGCACACCTCTTGGGGGAGGGACACATTATAAGAGGGACTTTACTTAACAAATGCAAACATTGTAACCTAATTCTTTGTACCCTCAATTAACCTGAAACAATAAAAAAAAAAAAAGGAAAAAGATGCATTTCCAATGTACAGTAGAACCTCTCTGTAGGTTGACCACCCAAGGCACTGTAGCACTGTAACAAATTGGTCAACACACGGGGTGGTAACATTAGGAACAAGGCCTGTTGTGCTGATGGTATATGTGATGCATGTCTGGTCTAAGAAAATGAGGTCAATGTATGGAGGTGGTTAATGTAGGGAGGTGGTCAGCTATGGAGTTTCCACTGTATTTAGTGTAATGAACAGGACTGTGAGGTGAATACACAAATAAAGGGAGACAGTTTTATCAATAAAGGAGAAAGCTTTGTCAAAGACAACTCACAAGATTCAGACTTTCATCCCGGGTAGGTAATGACAGACATCACACAGGCAAGAAGAATCCCACTTTGGAGGAAGATGGAGAGTTTGATTTGGTCTAGGTCTGAGTTTTAGTGTCTTGGTGACAATCAAGCGAATTAGGGATATAGAGAAATCGTTTGGATGGGAGATTATAATTTGTCGAGTCACCGATGTGTGGATGACATTAATCAAAGTGGAAAGAATGGATGAAATTTCTGAGGACGCTGGAAAAGGGAGGCCAAGAACAGAATGTTGAGGAAGCTTTAGTCTTGATTGACAGGGTGAACCAACTGGAGAGGGAGGTGGGAAGTCAGGGTAGGGGACTGGAGAAGAGGGACTTCTAGAAGAAAGTACTGGACATGAGTTGAATATTGTTGAGGGTTCCAGTTGGTTGAGAATTGGACTTAGACTTCGGGGTTGATAGTTCCTGGGGA